AACTAGCCAAACAAATAGAAAAGAAAAGTAAAGATTTAACTCAAGTAAAGTGTATTAAAGATGAAAATAAAAGTGTTTTTCTTAGAAAAAAATATTCAACATAGGTGGGTGAGTTATTTTGATAAACTTTTTAATGAATTTTTTGAAAATACGATCGACCTTAATGATCTTAATATGGTTAATAATAATAAAACGTTTCATTTTTGTCGTCACATTAGTAAAAAAGAAGTTGGGGAGACTTTAAAGAAAACCAAGTGTGGAAAGTCTGTACGACCTGATGATACCCCAATTGAAGTGTGGAAATGTTTAGGAGATTTGGGAGTTTCTTGGCTTACTAAACTCTTTAATATTATTTTAAAAATAAAAAAGATACCTGAGGAGTGGAGGACGAGTATTTTGGTCCTCATTTTTAAGAATAAAGGGGATGCACAAGAGTGCAAATTATAGAGGAATTAAGTTGATGTGTCATACTTTAAAATTATGGGAGAGGGTAATTGAACATAAGTTAAGACGTATTACAAAGATTTCTCGTAATCAATTTGGATTTATGTCGGGCAGGTCTATTATGGAAGCTATACATTTATTGAGAGGTTTCTTGAGAAGAGAGGTGTTGATATGACTTATATTCAAGTCATTAAAGATATGTATATTAGAGTTGTTACTTGTGTTCGAACTGAAGGAGGGTTGACCAAATATTTTCCTATTTCTGTTGGATTATCTCAGGGATCGACTTTAAACCCATATATTTTTGCTTTAGTTATGGATGGGCTTACTGGGCATTTACAGCAGGGTGTATTTTAATGTATGTTTTTTTTTTATGATATCCTTCTCGTAGGTGAAGCGTGGATAAGGCGAGAGAAAAAGGCCTGGAAAAACTTGAATTATGGAGGTTCACAATGGAGTCTAAAGACCTTCATTTGAGTAGAACTAAAACTGAATACATGAAATGTAATTTTAGTAGTAGTAGCTCTAGTGACAGAAGTGTAACCTTGGGTGATTGATCAAATTATTAAAAGGAACGATTTAGATATCTCAGGTCTGTTGTTCAAAGCAATGGTGATATAGATGGGGATGTTAATATGATGGGTGGTGATATTGATGGGGATGTTGATAGTAGAATTCAAGTTGGTTAGTTGAAGTCGATTAATGCTTCAGGCTTTTTGTGTGATACAAAAGTACTGCTTAGATTGAAAGGAAAATTTTATAAGACGGCGGTGAGACCTGCAATGCTCTATGGCGTTGAATGTTGGCCTTTAAAAGAGAAGCATAATACTAAGTTAAGTGTTGCCGAGATGAGGATGATTAGGTGGATGAGTGGCTTTACACTTAGAGACAAAATGCGAAATGAATATATTCGTGATAGAGTTGGTGTAGCTCCTATGACAGACAAAATTAGAGAAAGTCGTCTTAGATGGTTTGGTCACATTAAGCGTTGACCATCTGATGATCCGATTAGGAGAGTAGATGTTTTACATTCGACTAATGTTAAGAAAGGCAGAGGTAGACCTAGGAAGACTTGGGCTTATTGTATAAAAAAAGATCTTAATTTATTAGAACTAAATGAAAATATGACACTAAATAGGATGCAATGGAGAAAAATGATTCATGCAGCCGACCCCATGTAGTGGGATTAAGGCTTTGTTGTTTTTGTTGTTGTTGTTGATTTTTTTTTCATAACTTTCACCTTTTAGGGTTAATTATAAAAATTTCAAATAAATTTCAAAAATAATTTAAATATGTTGCTTTCAATATTGCGAATGAGAAAACTATGGTGGATCTCATGGTTGCATTAATAAAGATGTGTGAGAAGCCCTCAACATAAAATAAAATTTTTCTGATGAAGAGATTGCTCAATATGAAGATGATAGATGTTAGTTTGGTGATTAAGCACTTGATTAACTTCAACACTGTGACTAATTAGTTGTGTTTTGTTGGTATCAAGTTTGACGACGAGGTCAGGACATTGTTACTCTTATTTTCATTGCCAGACACTTGGGATGGATTAGTCACTGCAGTAACTTTTTAGGTAACATGAAGTTAAATTTTGATGACATTGTGGGGTTAGTGCTGAATGAAGAAGTTCGCAAGAAGGCGAGTGGTGAAACTTCAAATTGTGCTTTGAATGTTGAAAATAGAGGAATGAATCTGGATAGAAAGTAATGAAAAGATTCAATTTCAAGAGAAAATCCAGGTCAGAGAAAGAAAATGTCACTTTAAGGACTGCAAAACTCCAAATATTAGAGTTTAAGGTCAAGATAGAAAGCTCTCTACTTATGTCACCACAGATGAAATGAAGGTGACCCCCTTGCTTTGTCCCTTGATAGTACTAAATCATGGATAATAGATTTAGGTGCATCTTTTCATGCATGCCCCAACAAAGAAGTGTTTAAAAACTACAGTCAATGTGATCTTAAAAAGGTGTATTTGGGAGATAATAAGACTCACGATATTGTTGGAAAGGATGATGTTGATATCAGGTTGCCAAAATGATTAGTTTGGAAGCTCAATGAAGTTAGTCATGTTTCCTATTTGAAGAGAAATCTGATTTTTTTTGTGTCAGCTTGCGACGTCAGGTTATTTGACCACTTTTAGAGGTGATTTATGGAAGGTGATCAAATGGGCAATGGTGATGGCTTGAGGCAACATTGAAGGCAAACTACTTGGTTTTGACTAGGGCTGTCAATTTGGCTCGTTGTTCGTGAACAGCTCGTGTTCGGCTCGTTTAGTAGCTCGTGTTCGGCTCGTTCGTTAAGCCTAACGAGCCGAACACGAACAAATTTTTAAGCTCGAAATGTAAACCTCGAAAAAAAAAATATAACTTTTTACATAACAATATATTACATATATTATTTATATAGTAATATATTATATATATTTATGTGTAATTTTAAATCATAACACCTCATGTGGCAATGTGGTTAGTGTCTTCTTTTGTACAGATTTGATCCAGGTTCGAATCCCACACTTGACATCTATTTTTCTCAATTTTAGTTTAACGAGCCAATTTCGAGCCGAACACGAACACAAATATTTAAATCGAGCCGAACACGAACACACTGTTCACGAGCCGATTTCGAACACGAGCCGATTTCGAACACGAGCTATTTCGAACGAGCCGAACACGAGCCAAGCCTGAGCTCGCTCAAGCTCGGCTCGTTTACAACCCTAGTTTTGACAAAGGCAATTTGTTATGAACATGTTGCTCTTTGTGCTTTTGCTTTTCATCATGTATATAATTTTAATTAGTAAACTTCTATATGTGTGATAAGGTACCATTAAATATTATCAAATTTATATTATTCCAGATCTCAGAATATATTCAGGCTTAAATGGACTAGGAGCACTCAGGATGATTCAAGTGACTGTGACTTGGAGTTAATGGACCTTGACACTTGTAATGCATTTTTGTGTATAGATCATGTATTGTGTTGAATTTGTACAGAGGCCAACCATCTTTCACTATTTTTATGTTTTTGCAAATCCAGTTACAACTGGCCTCTATTATTCTTTTATTTTTGTCCCCTTACCATTTTCTAGTTAAATTGCAAATTATCTACTTTGACTTTTTTGTTTTGTATGTAATTTTCCTAGAAATCATACATGACAAAAATGCTCTTAGAGAAAATCTTTTCTAGTAACTTTATATAAATTGATAATCAATTTAAGAAAAACTTAGGAAAATTCTTGTCATTGAGATTAATTTGCATGGCCTTGAAACCTGTTTTTGATTAGAAATGATTCTCTTAGTATCTCTTCAAGGAGGTATAAAATTGAGCTTGTCAGTAATCATATTTTGGCATTTTGCAATGATATTTGTTGAAACTAAATTAGATAAATCTATTTGCATATCTTTTAAATATCTTTTTATGTTGCACTAACAGATTGCATCATTGCTATTTGTAATCATGATACTTATGGACAAGCCCAATTTAATTTTAACGATTATATTGCCCAAAATGATCAATTTTAAACATCATTGGTAAAGAAGGTACATTCTTAAAAAACAAATATGGATGAAGCACCAATTAGCTAAAAACTAACATTGCCATCTTGAAACTAATAATGGCAACTCGTTTTCACAACTAGTTGCCATTAGGACATCTACTAGTAGGCCTACTGCTATATCATTAATAATCAATCACCCATGTTGCAGTAGTGCTAAGTGCCAATTTATTTAGAGGCCAACCATCTTAGCCATGAAGGTGGATAAGTCAACTCCACTAGACGTTCTTAATTAGGTGGTCCCATAAGTTTCTTAGTGGCTGGCTAAACTGCGGGCTTCTTAAGGATCGTGATAGATCACTTTAGTTGCTTCAGGCTATGTTAACTGACTTCAGCTGTGCTAGGTTTGATTAAAACCCCACCTTGATAACTACTTTATTCTGAACATGTTTACCCAAACGTGTCCTTAAAACTCTTTAGCATCAAGGCTGTGATTAAGCTCCATGAGACCTAGGGTATGACTCGTAATATTTATTATAATAAGGCTAAATGAGATGAGTGAGGTTTACTCATTAGGTCAAAGCCATAATAATTTTGACTATGGTGAGCACATTTGCATTTCGATATTACTATAGGCTTTACATGACTGATTTTGTATTTTCTACTTGGAGACTTGGAACTAAGCTTAATTAATGTGGGTTAAGCCCAAACATTTAGGCACTCTAGTTGATCTATTTTGGTGGATAGGCTAGCTAATTCTTGTTTCTTGATTAATGAAATATACTGATGTAATTATTAAATATATATATAGAAATATATTATGCGCCAATCTCTATTTCTTGACTTGGCTTATTTGACAGTAGAAAATGATAATATTATTGATGAAGTTTAGTTAAAGATCTTTATTTCTTATTTTTAAATTTTGTCTTTGACATCGTCTCTTTAAGTTAATCATGTTTCCTTAATTTTTCCTTTTTGCAGTGTTCTTTAACTTGATTATTTAATGTGCTAGTTTTCTAATACTATCTGCTTTGGTTATTATTAAATTATTCCTGCAGGTGAGGGAATTGAAGAGCTCAAATGCTAGGAAACACTCGAATGGCGAAAACAGAAGTACTTATCCTCAGCACCAGTCAATTGGTCAAAGTGGTAGTTCTCAGTTCAGATCAAATAAGCTTGAACCGAATGGAAGACTGGCTGCCACTTTGAGTGTACCCCGCTCTGATAACCGGCCTTTGGACTCCAGTGACATTCAAATCACTGCTAATCATGCTTCTTCAAGAAGACGGGAATTATTGAATGCTAATCATTTGTTGAACTTTCACTATGACCCAGTTCCTCGGTCTCACCAACAAAAAAGAATTCCCCTTCCTAGAAGGCATCAAAGAGTAAAGTCTTATAACAAAGATCTCTTCCTCCAAGCGAACTACAAATTCATTATATATGATTCTGGAAGATATTCCATTGAGTCGATGAATCCTGATAAAATGTTTCCTTGGGAAGATGTTGTCTGTGTGAGGTACTCTGCCCCATTTCCGGTACAGTGCCCGATTTGCTTGGAAAGCCCTCTTTGTCCACAAATAACATCATGTGGCCATATATATTGTTTCCCTTGCATATTGAGGTACTTGTTAATGGGAGCCGAGGAACATAAAGGTGAATCCTGGAAGAAATGTCCATTGTGCTTTTCAATGATATCATCCGGGGAGTTGTATACAATTAAGATTGACAATGTTAAGCAGTTTCGTGTGGGTGATCATGCAGACTTTGTACTTTTGGCTCGAGCAAAAGATTCACAGATTCCCTTTCTTAAAAGTCAGGATGGGGCACACATCATGACTAGTAACTCCATCAATACAACCGACTTGTTTTCTAAATTTATTTTGAGCTCTGATGTTGAAATGTCGGTGCGAGATGCAAAGACAGATCTTACTGATTGGTTATGTAAAGCAGAAGCAGGTATAGTTGATGAATTGGAAAAGCTTCCATACGTTTGTGTGGCTTTGGAACAATTAGAAGAAAGGATGAGGAAATGGATGGAGGATCGGGTTCTTAATGAAAGCTCCTCTCAACTTAATCGTTGTGCACTTTCAAGTAGTCCTAAAGTGAGGCATCACATTAATTCATTAAGTCCCTGTTCATTGAATTCAAATTTAGATGCAGAGAATGCCCACTCCAAAGAATTGGTGGTTACTAGTCTTGAGAATGGCCGGATTCATGAGAAGCTTGAGCATTCTGAAAATGTTAGTGGCGCTTCACACCCTGACACAACTGTGGGTTCTTCAGAACTACCATATGATGAGTGTAAAGTGTTACACAAGGATTCAAACATTTGCAAGGATTTTAAGGAACGAGAGTCGTATACTTTCTATCAGGTGCTTAATTTTTTTTTTTTTCAAATTGCAACAAATTGCAATATTCTATCATTTAGTGCAGTATTGGTGTTATAAATGACTTCAATTTAATGGCTTGTTCTGACATTAGTGATTTTTTCATATTTGTTCATGCGTATTAATTCTTACTTGATCACAACATTATGAATCTAATTGCTCATTGAACTTTCAGGCATTAGATGGTCAAACATTAATCCTTCATCCATTGTGCATGAAGTGCCTTCTTCACCATTATGGAAGCTATGATATGCTCCCACCAAGGTATACTATAGAAGCCTAGAGCCTTCCTTTTACTTTGGTAGAAAAAATTTGGCAATACTTTCATCACGATGTTTTTCTTGTCTATTTGTTTTTTCTTCTCCTGCATTTTTTCTTTGAAGCTTTAAATCTGCTTACAAGTTTATGACATGGGGTTAGATGGAATTGTTTTAGTTGTTCATATATAACTATGGTGGAAATGCCACTTTCCTCTTTGCCTTTTACAATGCATGAAACTTCCGCCTACTACAGTGCAAGCACGGGACTTTTGCCTCCTAGTAACTCTAGCCTGTCAGCCTACATTATCCCATGATCTCGACCCTCTCTCTCTTTTCTCTTCGTCCTCATTGATTCATGAGATTATTCATGCCATCTACCACCTCACTAATTAAAGGACTATCTTGTATTTAATCTTGTAGCTATTTTAGTTTGCAAATTATGTATTTTTGTACTTTAGTAAATTCATCACAAACGATGAAACGAAAACTTAACTATTCCTTTAATTTTTGTTATAACATCAAGGATTTAGGTTTTTTTCTATGAACATTTTAATAAACTAGAGCCTTCCTTTTCGTGCTGCCTTGAAATTGGAAGCTTGCATTGTTGTTGTTATATTTTTTCTTTCCATCTAATTTTCTCATATTCAATCTTAGTTGCTACATCCTTACTTTTATTCTTTTTGCAACCAATTACTATCATAATTTTCTTTCTTTTAAATCACAACAATACTCTTGTTCCATTGGTCTTGGGTTCATTTGGGATTAGGACCTGAAACTGAAGTTCTACAAGAGAATCATAAAACATATATTCAACGTATTATCTGAATGAAAAGGGTTACCTCAAGCAGCTATAATTAGTTTGCATTTTTATGAAGGAAAGAGAAAAATTGAGTCAATGATTTAGCATCAAACCTCAACAAGGTAGTCCCCACATTGAGTTACCTGAATGAAAAGAGTAGGACCTGAAACTGAAGTTCTACAAGAGAATCATAAAACATATATTCAACGTATTATCTGAATGAAAAGAGTTACCTCAAGCAGCTATAATTAGTTTGCATTTTTATGAAGGAAAGAGAAAAATTGAGTCAATGATTTAGCATCAAACCTCAACAAGGTAGTCCCCACATTGAGTGCATGGGATGAACATGACTTGATGTTATCTTAGTTATGGAAACTTACACTTGTGTTTCTTTACTCAATAAAGAAAATATGGGATACGATAGTTTAAACATACACAGAAGTTTATCATGAGGTTTAATTTCATGAGATCATAACGAAGATATCAACCACAAAGCAAGGAGGAAGATTCATCACAAAATACTTCAATCTACTTAAAAGCTTTTGGCAATAGAAGAATTATTATTAATGTATCCAACTGCAATGTAGGAAAGATGTAGCCTGACTTAAAAGTTTGTTGAAAAAGAAAAAAAATAATGATTTTCATGCTTCATTGTATATTAAATATTTAGTTTGTGTTGCTAGGGTTCAATTTTTGGTAATGAGGATTCACCTTCCCTAAATAATATTATTGCTGTCATTCAAATAGAAGAAGAGGATTTATAGTTATTGATAACTTCATAGATTGTCGGCATCAAAAACTCTGATTTACACTTGAAATAGAAAAGGAAGATATTGAATGTCTTAAAGCAAGCCACCAAAGTTGGGCAAATCTGTAATGCATGTGAAAGAAGGCAACACCAAAAATCATTAATTGAGTTTCACTAAGAAATAAATATGTTGAAAAATTTTATGATATCATTTGAAAGACTCCTATGATAGATTCTTTTTCCTTATATTCTTAGGTATTTTCATCACTTATATGCTTTTAATGGCTCATAGATACTCAATTATCGCTTATGAATTATTTATTTAGTATCTATAAATCATATGATCAACTTCTTCTTCCGCCGATAATGGAGTATATAAGTGATGCAATCATCTATTATGTCAATCATCTATTATGTCAAACAAAAATTGGAGGGGCTGTTGTATGGATGATGCATGGAATACTCGTGATATTTGAGCAGATAAAGCAGTTTACATCACAAAAACCATGCATAAAATTGTTGGCCGATACCTTTCCAATGATCAAGGCTATCCAAGCTGCTGTGACCTTAGGCACATGTTGTTCATTGGGTCCGGAGGGTCCTAACGTAGACATTGGTAAATCATGTGCTAATGGATGTTTTGAAATGACGGAGAACGATAAAGAGAGGAGGATCGCACTTGTTGCTGCTGGTGCGACTGCTGGGATTGCTTCAGGTTTTAATGCCGTTGTTGCTGTATGCTTCTTCGCTATTGAAACTATGCTTGGGCCACTACGTGCAGAAAATTAACCACCCTTCACAACTGCAATGATTATATTGCCATTAGTTATATCATCCACAATTTCAAATGTATTACTGGGAGAACAACCGTCTTTTAGTGTGTCGACCTATGAACTACCACTCTACCTCATCCTGGGCATGTTGCAAGTGGCAGCCAGCTACCACCCGAATTTCCTCCTGCGGGCCTCATCTCCTTCCTGCAGAATCTCCTCAAGTTTGTTGCTCCTTCACGTTGCTTGTTGCACCAGGCGTTAAGCCCTGCAGGTTCTCAAGCGGCCGTAGGAGATTCCTCTGAATTTTCTTCCTACTGCTTAGTCTCCCTTCCTGCAGGAATTGATTCTGCTGGACCTTGCATCCTGCATTTGTCCGCAGGAAATAATTCTTTTTTAAGTAGTTCTGCCAGACCTCCTTCTCCTACAGCCTTCCAGGAACTTGGTATGTTAGAGCAGAATCAACGCTTCTTCTTCGGAGTATTTTCCTGCAGCGAACCCTTCTTTGGAGCTTTTTCATGCAGTAGACCCTTCAATGGAATTTTTCCCTGCCGCAGCCCTACCTCCGGTGCTTTTCTTTGAAGCAGGCCATCTAGAGCTTTTTTTCTGCAATAGAACCTCCTTCAGACTTTTTTTTTTGCTTGCAAACAATGCCCTGTAGCTTTTACTCTAGGTTGTTTACTTCTCTGCAAACTTTTCTGCAGTATCACCTGTAGGTGTCTTCCACCTACCTACAGACACTGCAGAAACTGCAGTAAAGACAACCGCAGTCAACTAAAAAATATCTCTAAATTCTTTTTGGGTTAATTACCAAGTACGGGATGAAAACTTCAAGTTCTACCTCACAGAGAATCTTCCTCGCCCATTGTTTGATATTTTCAAATTCAAGTTGAACATAGTTGTCAACTATGTTTCAAATTGAGGTGAGTGTTAGAAGTTATGTTAGGAAATAATTTATTTCTGTTAGAAGTTATGGGGATTAAATTTATTTCCTTGGATTGAAATTATTTTCTTTACTATTTTATGTTTTTTGTTGTTTCTTTATCTCCAAGTAATTAATATGAATTGATTAATTAAATATATATGTGTTATATCTTTCCTTTCCTGTTATTTCTTTTTTATTGTCCTTCCTATTCTAGGATTCATATTGGGGTTATTTATACCTCGTTTCATATCAATAATATAAATTCGTTGAATTCTGAAAATCAACACTAACCATTACATCTAAAGGTGACTCGATATTTAAGGGTTCACCTTTATTCAAAAAATTTATTCAAGGGATTTTCCAATCTTCCAACTTAAGTAAATGACATTCTCATTAATATTTTTAACCCATAATCATCCTCTAGGTAGATATGATTATAAAGGTGGCCCCTATGGATTTAATAGATGACTCCCACCATGTAGCACTTTGTCTCATTGAGCATTTAAGAGGTGTCTCATTGCACTTTATTTTTTATGAGACCTAGTTCCCATATTCAAGTAGGTGTAATATTCTGATACCATTTTTAAATATCTAAAGTCTCACACACTGAGATATTTGTTGCTTTGACCTATTATCATCATAGTTTTGTCCCATTGATATGAATTCATAGGAGGTCACCCATCCCAATGGTGCTTCCTTATGAGCATGCATGACTTCAGAGTTTCTGATAAAGTTTCAACTGTTACAACTAAAAGACATCTTACTGTTAAGAGTTCAACTTAAGAGGTTTAACAGATCTAGAAATTTTGATCAGGTTTATATTGAGTATAGATGATAGATTTTCATTAAATATGAATAATTCAAAGAAAGCTAAAGATGTTATTTTAGAGAAGGATTAAATATTATTTTAAATTACTTTGGAAGTAGATAAAGAGCCAAATAATGAGATAAATTGATTTTTTTAAAAATTAGAGTTTGATTTGAAGATGGCGCATGCGACAAAGCTTTAGTTTCACGTGGGATGCTTATTGAGGAATGTAAATAGGTGATATTACAATAGTTTTGTTATCAAATATATTTAATAGAATCTAAAGACTAATAAATATTCTCAATAATTGGATAAAAAATTTGTGTTACTATTTTTAAGGTACAAAGTACATCCTCGGGATTTTGGTGTTTATAGTGAAATTAATTTTGATGAATCATGCATCATTACGATGAAGCTGTAAGAGAGGAATATAACATAGACTTAGAAACATTGTTAAATCAAAACTAATTTAGTTTCATACTTTAAGTATCCAATATACAAGTATTTTTTAATCTTAAAAGAAAAATATAGAGAGCACAGAAAGAACCCTGGAATGGTTTCTATTGATCTTGAGAAGGCATGGTTCGGGTACCACGAGAATTTAGTTGATTCACAATAAAAATAAGTGTTTCATAGGTATTCTAAAGTTATTTAAGGTATATATGTATATAGAAACACACGCACACATAGGCACACACACATGATGGAGCATTAACTAGTATTATAAGTAGTTGAGAAAACTAAGGGTGTAAACGAACCGAACACGAACGAACAGAGTTTGTGTTCGTTTGAAATTTAGTTTGTTTGAAATAAGCTCGTGTCTGAAACTGTTCGTGAAGTCACAGGCAGTGTTTGTTTCTTAACGAACAGCCGAACACGAGTTGTTCGCGAACGGCGAGTCAGTTTGGCATCCCTAATATTAATATATATAAATAATATATTATATTAATTATATAACTTATATTATATAAATATATAATATCTATATTAGTATATTACTAATATAGTATATTAATATATTATTATTATTAATTAATTATATATTATAATTTATAAAGTTTATTTTTTTAAAATATCTTAATTTTTTGAACACGAACGAACACATCACTGTACGTGTTTGGTTCGTTTAACTAACCGAACGGAAAAAAATTGTTCACGTTCGTCTCGTTTACTTATCGAACGAATTGAACACGAACTCATTAACGAGCTGGACACGAACTGTTCGCGAACAACGAGCTTTTTTGACAGCCCTAGAGAAAACCAAAGAGTTTTCAATTGCATTAAGATTGCATGATAGATCAAAAGTTTTTTTTTTTTGTGTATTGGTTATGAAGATTTTTGCGAAGGATATTCACAGGAAGGTGGCTTGGTGTATCATTTTTTAAGGTTAACATAGATTTGATATATCAGTTATTTTTGAAATTCATGAAAAATTAAAATAATTAAGAAAGTTTTTGGAAGATTATAACTTGAGGTTTGTTTTACAAAATCTGATTATTTGATATACAATTTAAAGGTTGTGCATTATGAATGAAGAATATTGAAATATACAGTGATATCTCAATGTCGAAGAATAAAATATATATGAGAATATAACTTTAGAGTTCATTTCGATTAGTTTAAATGAACAATTTGTTAGGAGTATAATGTGATAAGAGAATATTATAAAGATTTAACATCAAATTTTAATGAACTGCAATTGTTTGGTCATGTTACTTAAATTTGAATGTTGGCTTCTAAAGTGATTGATATTAAACTTGGAGATGGAGGAAATGAGAATGTTAAAATGGATGTATGATAAAACTAGCAAAATATATATATAAATGATTATATTAATTGAATGGTGGGAGATTATGTATTGAAGCTAGAGTAGCGGAAATACACTTGACTTGTTTATGATATGTACAATTAATAGTAGTAAATACATCCTTAATATGATCACATTAAGTTACCAAAGGATTATGATGGAAAATGAGTATACTTATCATAACATGAACAGGAGTTGTGTGAAAGGTTTGCACATGATAGGTTTATCACTGTATGGAGCATCAAGAGGATCACATGGAGGAGTCATAAAACTGACTAAAAATAATTAGGACAAAGAAGATAGCGGGTAATACTGGTGAGAGAGTGAACTAAAAAACTGGATAGTGTCATAGCTGTTCGTCTTTACAGGTTGCGAATGGGAGCATATTTGTTGGCATATAGTGGTGGTATTGCATTCAAACAAAGAGGCTCTGCATATATCAGAACTGTTGGAAAATATCTGTAAAAAAAATGGGAAGAATATCTACTTTCATCATAACTGCAAGGATTCTTTTATATTAATGAATTGTTTCTGAAAAGAAGTTTCTCCCTCCGGCAGAGCATTAATATATTTGAACAGCATTTATTGAGGATTTATGCTCATTATACTTTCCTGCTTGTGGAATCTTGGTTTGCATCATTTGAAGTGACTGTTATTAGCAGAATTAATGGAGTAATTTTGGAGTTGGAGATGATTACTCAGTCAGAAGCCATGAGGAAGCGTTATCGGTACCTCAGCCACTTCTCATTAAGCACAACTTTTCAGGTCTATTTCTACTTATTCAATTTATGATGTCAAATGCAGCATCATTCTCCTGACATTTTAATGAAATGCAGCTCTGTGAAATCGAACTTGCCGAAATCTTGCCCCCTGCTTCACTAGCCCCTTTTATGGGTGAAATTAAGAAACGTGAAAAGCAGAGGAAATGGCTTGCAAAGAAGGTTTGTTCTCTGTTTGAAGCAATATAAAAGATATCTCTCAAATAACTTGTGTACTTTTTTAGCTTATATTTTTTCTTGCTCTGTTTTGTTTGACCAAGAAGCTTAGTTTGCATTACATGAGATGTACAGTAAGAAAATTTGTACGTTATAGATTTTATTTTGGAATTTAGAATGAATAATGAAATTTTTAACAAAAAATTAAATTATTAATTTTACTTTAATTTAAATTCATCTTTGAAATGTTGAAATGAGATATATAAAGGAGTATTTCTCGATGATATAGAAGCATACTTTATAAAATATGTGTATTATACATTGAAAGGCTGTATTCATGTCTTTTTTCTTTTTGAAGGATTTGAAAACATTTGTTATTTTTTGAATAATTTGGGCATGCTGGCATTAATTATGTGGCTATAATACCTGAATATACTAAACTAAGCACTCAATGAAGAAATCTGTCAACTACGCTCATACAATTTGACTCCAATTTGTTTTCATTCACTGGCACAACTTGTAATGGACCGTGAAAAGATTTGGTTTTTCTAGTGTATTACAGTAGTCATCTTTTTACGGTTATAATCACAAGATCTATTATTTATTGTTTAAAAAGGACATATGAAGTGGTACTGCATCTTAATCTTCTTGTTAGTTTTTCTTTGACTGCGTTCCATGATAATTTATGAACACTTGTTGTTTGTCAATTCTTGAACAAGAACCTGCTTTTCAATGATAGTCCCGGGCTTTTACAAGGTTCGTCTCTAGAAGTTAAACATATGGTAGTTCTCAAGCTCTCTTACTGTTCTCGCAGCAATATTGGAACTCATTCTGCATTTTCTTTTCTAACAAGAGGTAGCTAGTGCATGCTATCCTCATATCTTTCAATGATTATAAAAGCAGTAAATCTTCTGCACCTTGGTTTGTCCTTTAGTTGCTTTTGTGATCTTTAAAGTAGGAAATCTAAATTCTATGTCAAAGGATGCATGAATTTAACATATAAGCATGCTAAAAATCAAGTAAAAGCAGATGCACTGGTTCCAGCTTTACATGCATTTCACATGTTCTTATTCAGACTAAAATGATTGCATCTTTAATTATTTATATTTTTATTGTGATTTAGGAACGTGATGAGAAAGTCCGAGCTGAAGCTGCAAACTGTGCTGAAGTTGCTTCTTTACGGGAGATGCTTAATCCATCAAACCAGAGATATTTAAGTGATAAGGATACAATTTTCTCTTTGGATGAATTTAAAGGTGGATGTCCTTTCGTCTTTGCTCACTTTTTATTAATCAATTGATTTCTTAAATACCATGCAAATATTGGTTAGCATCAGAGCACTCGGCATATGATAATCACCTGATATTTTAGGTTGAAGTGATAAATTGAGCGAAGTAGATCATGAAAAGTTATTTGTATTGAACGAGAATAATGGCTTTCCAGGAAAAGCCATTGCTTCCTCTTACTCTATTTATTTAGTAGAAAAAGGAATCATTGGGGTTACTTGACTCCTGTTTTTGGGGTTACAGTTCATCATCCCTTCTATAGTGATTGGGGCTCTTATGATGGCAAAAAACCCCTCTACAATGTTGCATTCAATATTTGTAAAGCACTCAGGGGGCCTTAGGTCACATGAGGTTTGTTGATATTTTCGTCCTCGTAATATTTATAGTGCTCCATTCCTTCCATTGGTTCCATTGGTTCCAGGTAGTTAGAAGCAGGTAGTTAGAAGCCCAGGAGGCCTGGTGGGGTGACCGACTTCAATTATTCTTTAGGTTGTTATCCATTGGATATGTTAACTTTGGTAGCTTTAATATCTACTGAGTGTTAGAAAGGGTGCTAAAGATTGCTCAGAACCCGTGCTTCTTATAATATTATTATTGTCTCCACTTCCTCCTTGGTTCAGTGTTGCAGCTTATTGGTTCGTGTGAGACTCAATCTTTGAATCAGTGTGTATTGAATGACCCAATCTCCTCGAGTGATCTCTGAGGTTGCTCTCTATGCCTATATGTGATGGTGGCTAGTTTAAGCCTAACTTTCAACCCTGAGGTTGCTTCATCATTCTTGGCCAATATGATAAGCTGACACTTGTGATGGTGCACAATGAATTTTCACAAATAATAATAATAACAAAAAAGAAATGATAATCTGCGTGATAAACATGCCATGCTTGTTCTAAATATTTACTACTGCCAATGTATAGCTGTGTGATATATTTTTCTCCTAATTTTTAAGTTGTGTTTTCGTTTGCAATTTTTTCTTCTTGCGTGTTGCTTGTCTACAAGGAATGATAAGTTTATAGATGGTGTCTGATTTTAATGAAATTGGTCTTGTCCCTAGCACTAGGCAGCGGTGTTGCACCAACAACAAATCTGTCCTTGAACAATACAAGGAAACTGTTCTCAAATGTAACCCGCCTTGGATTTGCTTCGGCTTATGATTCTCCAGCCCTAAGAGCTGAGGAGTTGGCTAATTCATCAGGAAGTATGGATGCTACACAAGAAGCTTCAGTTACTCAAGGTACACCTCATAAATGTTCGCTCATGCTTATTACTAAACACTAAAAATTATACTGAATACGCGGTCGCTTGTTGTAAAGATTTGCCTAGGTGAACATTTCTTCAGGTGTCTGTAAGCTATAAATATTGGCAACAGCTTGTTAATAGGTGTAAAAATAATTCATTAATATTGTATGCTTTTATACGGGCTTCCTAAATGTTAAAAAAAAAAAAAAAAACTTTAACTGCTTAAAATGCTACAATTAGTTTCATAACAATTACTTTGTACAGATGGAAGTGCATCCACTATACCTCCGTCATTTGCTAATGTCTTAGCATCTACCAAATGCGAGGGAGGTCCACAGAACTCGAATAGCAGCGCTAGGAAAGGAAAGAAACCCATCAGGGTCCTTCTATCCACTGCAGGTGGGCGGAGATATTGAATGTCATAGACGTTGTTCCCCAGCCAACTTTTGTGCCATACAATGGCTTGTAAATTTGGTTCGAGAATGATATGTTCGCCTAAATTAATTGAAGAATGATACTTTTTTGTTTCCTAGCCAACTTTTGTGCCATACAATGACTTGTAAATTTGGTTTGAGAATGATATGTTTGGCTAAATTAATTGTAGAATGATACTTTTTGTATGATTAATTTACCCTTCCGTTCACTAAAGTTTGATTTGAACTGGAATTGGCATAGATGATTGACCCCCTCTTCATACATGCAATTTGACTCAAAATAAGTTGCAGTTTCTCCTCAAAAGTCTTCCAATGGGTCTCTAAGCACCAAACCAAACAAAATTTGGTATATGCAACTTGGTTTCTGAACTATCACGTTTGATTACTTGCATTAAAACCAACGGAAAAAACATATTGGAAGTCCCGAAGTATTTCTTAAAAGTTATGAGGAAGTTGTCATTCAAATAAATTTTATATTTGTTCATTACTTTTATTATCACGAAAGCAATAATAATAATAATAAAAAAAAAAGACAATTACATGCATAGCACTTAGAACATAGCTATTTGCAAAACTTGTGTCCCCTTTCATCCAATTTTCTAATGCTCACTCAATTATCAAATTTCACGATAAAATCAAAACTCATATATATATATATATATATATATATATATATATATATATATTAATTTTCCAATGTGGTATAATTTTGGCATGTTAACAATGTTTCAAATGCTTTGTACGTAATTATCCTTTACAAAAATTGTGCCAAATAAAACCTAGAAAATAACCATAAGAGATTTGATCCATCCCACCTTGATTTCTTAATTCGAAACAAGCTAGCTTTCCTCAAACAACACTAACACTTTCTTTGAAAAATATTTTGTTTATAAATGCTGGTTGTAACTTCTTGAGTGTTGGGATTAATTTTGGTCATCTTGGATTCAATTATGACCACTGGTCATTTAGAGTGATTTTTTTTTTACTGCAATTATGTTGATTGACATTTGAATTGCTGCCATAAAACATATAAATGAGAATTAAAGAGAACTTTTTGGTGATTTTCTTAGACTGCTATGATCTCCTCTTTGTTTTTTTAGAGCGATGGGTTTATTTATAGGTTTTCCACTTCAAAAAACACCTTAGGTCGCTTTTTTCATTAAAATTCTTTTTATTAAAATACCCTATGAGGGAAAAAAAGAAATCAGGCTCTTAATAATTAATTAATTATGAAAATGGCACATTCTAATACTTCAATTGCATCAACTTCAAGGTAATTGCTCGATTCTCAACTATATATTTTCTACAAGACACATGTCTAATGTTTATCTACATGTATTTCTATTGTTTGCATTTGCTCAAATGGTATTCTAGTCATGTACGACTAGAAGTGTCATTAGTCTGTCAAGTTTATCTTAAATCAAGCCGTTAAAATATGGTTATGTTATAGATAATTTACATCCAAAATTCAATAAATAAGCTTTAAAACTATAAAAAAATTTCATAAGAAAAAAAGAAGGTTAGAAAACTTAAAAATATTAAGAGTGAGACAATAAAATTTCACTTAAAGTTTCTTTTTTAAAAATAAAATACTATTAGTTTGACCTTTCATCTAATCAACATCTTTATTACGCATCAACCATTAGGTGAACATTAAAACTTATAAAGTTCAATATATAAGTACATTTCACATTAAAGGTAAAAATTCAAATGTGATTCTGTGCTTGAAAATCATACAACTTGCCATAATTAAAAACATTAGAACATGTTGACTATATCATCTAAAAAGAACAAAAGTTCATCCATGTGCAAATGGGCTCTTAAATATGATAGTATGAAAACTTGGGAAAATAATTTGTTCTAAGAGGAACATTTTATTTTCAAATGCGTGTGACGCGTTTTAGGGTAGATGCATATTAGAATAAAGGATGTGATGATTCAAATGTTTGTTGTAATTGTTAACATGTTAAATTGTGCACTAATGTATTATGAGTATCTATCACATGAGAATCTTAAGAGTATACATGTTCCAATAAAAAAATGTGTAAAATATTAAAGAATATACATCCAATGTATGCATTTGAAGACAGGTAAAAAATACACCCATTGAATAGGGAGCACTCACCTAACAACCAACAGACACTCATCTAGCACTCGACATGCACACACCCATATAAGGAAGACTAAACCAACTCAAAGGGGATCCTGTGGCTCAGCAAAACTCGCCCAGCTTATATATGCATATTCCAACCTAAAATTCACTTGGCTAGATTGAAGGGACCTCTCGACCTAGCTAAACTTGCCTAAGGAATTGGAGAATACCATTTAGACTCAATCAACCAAGCGATTTGGCTTAATCGATCAACAATTGCATCCATTTGGATAGTGTAGTTTATGAAGCACTCACCCTTCACATGAATATTTAGATACGTTTCAATTTGAATTTTCGAACTTTGAGGCTTTTATGGTTGACCATAAAAAAAATAAAAAATTAGAAAGGTGGTTAGAACACTTTTTCATTAATGGCCACCAACAATTCCCTTCAAAATTTCCTCCTCATTGTACTAATTTTTTTATCATTCAGAACAAGCATCACATGTTTATCACGCAGACTATCATTTTTTTTTGTTATTATTATTATTTGGGAAAATTCATTGTGCACCATCCCAAGTGTCAGCTTATCATATTGGCCAAGAATGATGAAGCAACCTCAGGGTTGAAAGTTAGGCTTAAACTAGCCACCATCACATCTAGGAGTAGAGAGCAACATCAAAGAGCACTCGAGGAGATTGGGCCACTCAATACACACTGATTCTAAGATTGAGTCTCACACGAACCAATAACCTACAACACTGAACCCAAGAGGAAGTGGAGACGATAATTATAAGAAGCACATGTTCTGAGCAATCTTTAGCACCCTTTCTAACACTCAGTAGATATTAAAGCTATCAAAGTTAACATATCCAATGGATAACAGCCTAAAGAATAATTGAAGTCGATCACCCCACTAGGCCTCCTGGACTTCTAACTACCTGGAACCAATGGAAGGAATGGAGCACTATAAATATTACGAGGACAGAAACATCAACGAACCTCATGTGACCTAAGGCCCCCTGGGTCCTTTACAAATATGGAATGCAACATTGTAGAGGGTTTTTTGCCATCTTAAAAGCCCCAATCACTGTAGAAGGGAAGATGAAGTGTAACCCCAAAAACAGGAGCCCAGTAACCCCAATGATTTCTTTTTCTACTAAATAAATAAAGGAAGAGGGGACAATGGCTTTTCCTGGAAAGCCATTATTCTAGTTCAATACAAATCACTTTTCATGATCTACATCGCTCAATTTATCACTTCAACCAAAATAATCAGGTGATTATCAAATGCCGAGTTCTCTGATGCTATAACCGATATTTGCATGGTATTTAAGAGATCAAATGCTTAATAAAAAGTAAGCAAGGACGAAAGCACATCGACCTTCAAAGTCATCCAAAGAGAAAATTGTATCCTTATCACTTAAATATCTCTGGTTTGACAGATTAAGCATCTCCCGTAAAGAAGCAACCAACTTCAGCACAGTTTGCAGCTTCAGCTCAGACTTTCTCATCACGTTCCTGAATCACAAAAAAAATAGAAATAATTAAACATGCAATCATTTTAGTCTAAATAAGAACATGTGAAATGAATAAGAACATGTGAAATGCATGTAAAGCTGGAACCTGTGCATCTGCTTTTACTTGATTTTTAGCATGCTCTTTATGTTATCTTCATGCATCCTTTGACACAAACAGCAGGAAAGAAGTGTTCATAAATTATCATGGAACGCAGTCAAAGAAAAACTAACAAGAAGATTAAGATGCAGTACCAGTTCATAGGTCCTTTTTAAACAATAAACAAAAGATCTTGTGATTATAACTGTAAGAGGATGACTACTGTAATACAGTAGAAAGACCAAATCTTTTCACGGTCCATTACAAGTTGTGCCAGTGAATGAAAACAAATTGGAGTCAAACTGTATGAGCGTAGTTAAAAGATTTCTTCATAGTGAAGTGCTTAGAGCTTAGTATATTCAGGTATTATAGCCACATAATTAATGCCATGCATGCCCAAATTATTAAAAAAAACAAATATTTTCAAATCTTTCAAAAAGACAAAAGACATGAACTGCCTTCCAATGTATAATGCACATATTTTATAAAGTATGCTTCTATATCATTGAGAAATACTCCTTTATATATCTCATTTCAACATTTCAGAGACGAATTTTAATTAAAGTAAAAATAATAATTTTTTTTTTAACTCCATTATTCATTCTAAATTCCAAAATAAAATCTATAACGCACAAATGTTCTTTCCTGTACATCTCATGTAATGCAAACTAAGCTTCTTGGTCAAACAAAACAGAGCAAGAAAAAATATAAGCTAAAAAAGTACACAAGTTATTTGAGAGATATCTTTTATATTGCTTCAAAGGGAGAACAAACCTTCTTTGCAAGCCATTTCCTCTGAACTTAAATAAAATATTTTCACGTTTCTCTATTTTACAAGAGATATCTTTTATATTGCTTTTACAATTCAGGGTTTATGAATATTATTTTACAATCTCACATATTAATGGGTTTTTGATATGATCCACAATCATAGTTTATTGCCCGCGTTTAGGCAAGAATGAAATAATTAAGCTATATTCGTCAACTATTAGAAGATGAATTCAGGGTTTATGAATATTATTTTACAATCCCACATATTAATGGGTTTTTGATAAGATCCACAATCATAGTTTATTGCCCTAGTTTAGGCAAGAATGAAATAATTAAGCTATATTCGTCAACTATTAGAAGATGATCAGCCTACCACCAGTAAACATATACACTCGTATTACAAAACAATCGATAAAAATATACGCCATTTTGATAGATCAATCCACTTCATTGAAATCCTAAAATAACACCTGCTTACTTTGTGGGTTCAGTTTGTTCGGGCTAGGTTCATGCTTCAGTGTTGAATCCCCACTCATCAGTTCCTGGAAAGCTTCTACTTTAACCGGAACATTTCTCATATTAAATGTATTCCTGCACCCAAGATATTAGCTTCCAAGGACCAAACTCATCTCATTAAAAAAAACATAAAAAAATTTGGATTTCATATGACATGAAAGACTTCACGGAGAGAAATATGAATAAATTCATGTTTCCTCCACTTTTAGTGTTTAGTCATGGTATAAGACTTACTGAGCCAGCTGTGCTTGAAGTTGAGGAATCTGAATGGACTGAAGTTGTTTAAAATGCTGTCCAAATTGTGTCGGATGTTTTGCCATAGCCATCTGTTGTTGCCTCAATTGCATCTGCTGTTTTTTGAGGGCATTGAAACTGTTTGTATCGATAGGTCCTTCCATTATATTCTCGATTTTGACATCCTTCATAGGCCGATCCTTGTCTATAATCATCACAGAACCACGCGTCGATACCTGTTGACGCCTCAACCTATCCCATTGTTGTTGTTGTTGTAGCTGCTGCTGTTGTTGCTGCTGAAATGCTATATTTTGTGGGTGAAGCAAATTCATTTGGGGATGCATTTGCCTTTGAAACTATAACGTGCAGAATGCAAAATTAGGTGCATTGATATAGGGAAGAAGTGATGATATGATGATTCAAACTTCGCATTCCAATTGAAAATCTAGTTGTACTGACTTTAAAAAAAATTGGGATGTTAGCATAACTAGTAAAAAAATACTAGATAATTAATTAGATTCAACAAAAAATCATAAATACAGAGAAAAATTAAGGTCTTACAAGGGTGAATGAAGATAATTTCTCATGGAAGATGTCATACTTTCACCAGACTCTTAAAGAATTCCATATCAAACTAGCAAATAAAAGATAGAAACTCGCAGGGTATTTACATACATACCACCCATTTCCTATGCATTTACATATCTAAAACCAAAATTTCATTCTTTACATTTATGCCACACGAATCTTTCACATCACATAAAAGATACCACTATTTTAACTTTTAAGAAGTGGCATACACTCTTATGCATAGGAAAGGTGCTATGTATGTAAAATTGAACTCTAGGTATTAGATATGTAAATAGATAAGAATTGACTCGTATGTGTCTATAAATCTTCCAAAGATATAATCGAGAAACATATTGAATCCCAAACAGGATAAAATTACACGCCTCAAGTATTTATCTATAGAATCGCATCCTTAAGTTAGTAAACATGATGGAAAAGGAAAGCATGACCTATTTGGTCCAGCAAGAAAGCATGACCTATTTGGTCCAGCAAATTCAAAATTTAAATCTCAATTATCCAAATAACTAGCTAGAAGACAAAAATGTGCAATAAACAAAAGCAGAAAAGAAAAAAAAAGGCTACGTGAAACCATTTAAAGCTAATGTACATAAACCCATATCAAACGGTAGCACTAAACCACAACTTGCAACCAATAAACCCAAGAGACAAAACACCAGTAAAAGAAATGGGAATTTGTTTTTGTAAACCTTCCCATGCCACACATGTACTTTTCTTAAATTAGTTTTTTTATCAACATTTTTGTCAAATGTAAACACGTAGCACCCAATTCCAAATATAAATGCACCAAAAATATTTTTGTCAAGCAATATAAGAAGCGCAAACTCCCTGGGGTTAGTTATCAATCATCATCACCAGTATTGGAGGGGTCAAAAACTTAAATTCAATCATTCCAGTACCCTAAATTAAATGTTCTTAAAATGCAAGTGTATGACATACTGTAGTAAGAGAAAGCATGCCGATTGTCAACAGAATGGAATAAAAGTCAATTAACTATTAGAAAGCAGCAAGCAAACATGTTCAAAAATTCAAAAATTTAAAGTGAAAATAATTGCCTGTTGAGCTTGTAAAAGAGGATTTTGTTGCGGTGAAGGAAGTTGATCAACAATTGCTGTGTCTGATGGGTGAAGCCAACCTTTCTACTATTTTTAGTAATTTCTGCCAAGGTCCCAAGATTTCAGTGGAGGGAAAGAAGAGAATGACCAAGTCAATAAACTTGATCTATTAGCTTCATCTAATATTATGACAGTCCAGAATAAGCGGGAAGTGATAGAAACAAGTGGAATACTATGCAACTATCAATCTCCATGGAGGATCCATGCATGGGCAAAGGATGGTAAAATCTCCATAAAATTCCAGAGATGTTTATTCAAATTTACGGCTGAGCCACAGACTAATGCATTGGCAAAACTAGGGACATAAAGAAGAGTTTGCTTCACTCCATCTAATGGACCCTTCAAAATCAAACCAGAATAAAAAAACAGTGCAAACCACTGTTGCTCAAAATCATCAATACATGTACCATTAACTGTCCTGGACATTTGGCAATGATTCACTGAAGATGAAATTTAAATTGGAAGATTTCCACCATGCAAATTCTCTTTATGTTTGACTATTAAATTTCTTTTTTATGCTAAATCAGAAAGAAGTCTATTGCATATGCACATCCACTAAGACGTGAAGCATAAAGCAAATGCGGATTATAATCTGGATTACAAAGTGAAGAGAGCTAAATAGTCAAATTTTTTAATAAGATAATAAATTAGGAGAGCAATATATCATAAATTTATTTGACATTTATAAGAAGCTAAACATGACACAATCCAAATCTTATCTTTGAAAATATTTTGTTGGAAGAGACTGAATATTAGTATTAGCTATCAAGTATATTGATTAGTAATAATACTGTTCTTTTTT